GGACGACTAGCGCAGATAGCCCTCGTGTAGCTTTGCGCGAAATTCAGAAACAAACATAACCTTTAACCGAGTATACATGTATTGAAAAAAATGTTTTATTACATTTATGTAGACAAAAAAGGATTTGATAATAAAAAACACAATTCTTGATACTTTTCACAAAGTTTTAATATGGTTTCTGAAGAAAAAGGAAAGTTGAAATGGAAGAAATATATTTGGGTTGATTCTTGTGAGTTTGGTTTGTTGAAGAAGACGAATGTTTAGAACAGTAACTTGATAAAGGACGATATCTTGTAGTAACACTCAGTTAATTCTAGCTACTTCTGTTGGGTTTAGGGGCACAAGAAATAGTTAACAAACCAAGTTTACAAGACAGTTAATACGGTTTATTAAGTATAAAGTTAAACTAGTGAACTCGTGCAAGAGAATAAACGGCAACAGAAATCATCACCTAACAACGATTAATTATGATAAGTGGTGGAGTGCTTCTAAAATACTTAATGTAACCTTAAGACTAAATAGATGTTATAAGATAAGAATAAGTAATGCTTCCAGTATTAGTTGTTTCATTTGGTTTAGTCTAACAGACTTTTTGATACGCCATTGCTCTTCATTTTATTCGTTTTAACGGTGAGGCAAAATCAAGCGTCATTTATCATATAGTGAAAAGTAAATAAAACCAACACAGAAGACAACAAGTGAAATAAATAAATCGCTAGATCTTAAAAATCAAAGGTCTGAAAATTTTCATAGGACAGCGGATGATTGTACTGCATATTACTGCGAATACTATTTATAATTGATTCAACGATAACTATTTATAGAGAAATCCCAGTTAAAACAAGGCACGAAACCAATGAAATTAGTAGAATATGCATTAATATACTTATATATATATTTAATTCAGATTATAGCTTAATAGTATACTTTGAAGAATAGCTGGTAAAATGACGGATATCTTCTTTCCTACATATTTCTGCATTTCTTTCCATTTTTACTTTGTAGAGAGGCCCGGCATGGCCAGGTGGTTAGGGCGCTTGACTCGCAATCTGAGGGTCGCGGATTCGAATCCTCGACTTACCGAACATGCTCGACCTTTCAGCTGTGGGGACGTTATAATATGACGTTCAATCCCACTATTTGTTGATAAAAGAGTAGCCCAAGAGTTGGCGTTGGGAGGTGATGACTAGCTGCCTTCCCTCTAATCTTACACCGCTAAATTAGGGATGGCTAGCACAGATAGCTCTCGTGTATCTTTGCGCGAACTTCAAAATAAACCTAACCAAACTTTGCCGAGAATTCACAATTAATACATGTCTCTACAAATTGATTATATATTTTTGTTAGTCTTAACAAAAGAAATATATAATCTATGTAAACTGATTAACAAAAGATTTGTAGATTACAAAAATGGTTAAAAATAACATTGATTTTTGGACATAACCTTGGTGGGAGGGGCTGCAGAGAATCCAATAACAAATCTATATTGATTAAACATAAATGCTGATTTTTTTTTGACTTATGAAATTAACTATTGAATTATAATTACTCTGACAAAGGAAAGATTTAATCAAGGTTGTGGAAATAAATTGAATGAATACAGTTGAGTGGAATTTAATCACATGCTTAGATTGAAAGTAGTGAATGTTTAAAACATTTGTATTGAAAAAAAATTTTTCTAGCCCTTTTAGTGCTTGTCCCAAAAATAAATAGGCTTGAAAGCATAGTAAAGGAAGATTTTTCCGTCGGAAATCGTTAATTTCAAATCTCTTACGCAATAATAAGTTTAGCTACAAGTTTCATAACGAAATATTATTTTTATTAAATATTAATTAAGTGAAAGAAATACGAAATGAACATTTTTTAAATTTTTGCTAGTTTGTATAAAAAGAAAATTATATGTGACCATTGACATTAACTGAATTTTGAAATGATTTACTTTCAATTTACACTAACTTTTTAACTAATTGTTGAAATAACACTAAGCTTGTTGGGCACCACATATAAATTCTGTTAAGTAATCACATTTACTATGTTAATTAACTGATTCGGAAGTGTGAGCATAACTCTGAATACTTTAACCAGTAAAGCATGATTCTGTATTTTGTGTACAATAACTAGCTTTAACTTTGTGACCTATAACCTCAACAATAAGTACATTGTATTTAAATACGTGTTAAATAATAAACTTTGATTTTACGACGAATTTGTTGTGTTTAAATATTCTTATAATGAACATTCTTTGCCGAGAATATTAAAATGGAGATGTACTATTACGCAGACACTCCACAGGTATATACAATATTGTTTTTGAGATGTCAACACAAATTAGGATTATGGAGTGCTCTTTCGTTTCAAGACATCATTTTATTACTCGACATCTCTTTCCTCGAGTTTCCTTATCAAAACGTTGTCTTCCTCTGCTTAAAACCACAAAATAATTCTTCCTGTTGTCAATTTATTAATCTGCAGAGCAAAACATCTAGTCACTAGTGAAATTATAAAAAAAAGCACAAAGAATACTCTTTCTGATAAACGGTGCCGTTCAGAGAACTCCCGTATTCTTTATGTTAACTCCCCAAGCGTTAAGATTAATTTGTTCTTGTCTGTCCATTTGTTTGTAATTAAGCACAAAGCTACACAATGGGCTATCTGTGCTCTGCCCACCACAGTATCGAAACCCAGTTTCTATCGTTGCAAGTCCGCAGACATACCGCTGGGGAGGGTGGGGGGGGGTCCTGTTTGTCAAACACCTATGGTAGAGAAATGTAAGGATAGGTGGGTGGTTCTTTTTTTGGTTTATTTATTGTTGTTTTACATGTGACATGAGTTTTTGTATACTATCCTTTATATTATACTATAAAACTGACCCATAAATAAATACATGTGAGTTAACATTGTAATATAATTCGATGAAAGACAAAGTGATTTAATATATTGTCAACATACACACACGTTTGATGTATGAAGTAATAATAAAGGTATTACTACCAAAAATTTTTATTTTATGGCTATCTGTTTTTGTTTGCATGCGTCGTACATTCTAGCAAGCGTTATCATGTAGCATAGACAGTATGTTTCCCCAGGACAGACCGATAAAAAGGGAAGCTAAGATTGGAATATAAGGTTTATTATGCAAAACCATACATACAGACCATATGCTGGATATTAATCTTCCCAGCTATCGAAACCTAATCCTATATTTTAGTTCCTCCAGGTAAAAGATAAGTAGATGGAAATACATATGTA